AGTCGGCCCGTGCGGGCTGGGGTTTTGCCGTCATGGAGGGGGCCTCGCTTTGTGGCCAAGCGTTTGGACCTCTCCCTGGACATGAGCAAAGCGTCCCTCGGGCCGAGTTGTTTGCGATTTTGGAAGTGCTCCAGGTTGGCAGGGCCCCTCTCGACATTAAGTCCGATCATTTGCCTGCCATTGAGGGCATTAACCTTCGTGGTCGTGAGTGGTGCTTGGATGTGTCGAGGCAGAACCTTGACCTTTGGCGCCAGATCTGGCGCGCGATTGATGATCACGGGGGCCTGCAGGAGGGCGTGCTGTCTTTTGCGTGGGTGAAATCTCATCAGACGGATTGGTCTGTTGAGAGGGTGGGCAATGATTTTGCCGACCAAGTTGCACGCAAAGGTATGGAAGCTCACGCGCTGTCTAAACATATTGAGAATGGACATGCTGCTTCCCTCCTCCTCCTCCTCCGACAGACCTCGTGCTGGATTGCTCAGTCCCAGGAGGCCTTGGCGCTCGGAGCGGTCGCCGCGGACCGTGCCGAGACGCCGCTGAGGCGTAGGCATCGGAAGCCCCCTCGCCTCCGCCATCGTCCTCCCCCCCCCCCTGCCCTGTGCCATCGGCCCGTTGAGATCAGAGGTCACTGGAGGTGCTCGCTCTGTCTTGCCTCGGCCCGCACGGAGAGAGGCAGGCGCAGGATGATCCGCGCGATGTGTGGCACCGTGCGCGCGCAGGCCCGCCCCGCGCTTGCGGGTGCTACCGCGCCGCCGCCGCCGTCGTCGCCGTCGGGGAGTCGGGACGGGGGTGGGGGTGGATGCAAGAGGTCCCGTGAGAGCGAGCCCGAGTCCGATCCCCCTTTGCGGTGCCTGCGCATCAGGCTTTGTGACTCGGACGACAGGCGTCCGCCAATTCGCCCGAGGGAGGAGATGGAGGGGGAGGGTGACGAAACGGCCCTGGACGGGTCCGTGCCCCCCTCTCGCTCGGTCCGCCCGAGAGTGCGTTTTGACCTAGACTCGCCTCTGTCTCTGGACGAGACGGTCGAGCGTCTCACTCACGACGGAATGCTGTCTCAGGAGGTCGAGCCCCCCGCGAAGAGGCCGTGCACCTTCGGTCCCAAGGCCTCCCCGTCGCCCGTGGGTCCTGGGTGTGAGGGTTCTCGGGAGCTCTCTGACCTCGTCCCCATGTCCCGTATGAGGGGCCGCGAAATCTTTATCTCTGGTAATTTAGCTGCATGCCGTAGGTGTGGATCGTCTTGCGAGGGGGGGAGTCAGTCCCAGCTGTTTGGGGTGTGTCGCCCCGAGCTTTTGGAGAGGACCCCCTCCCGCAGATATAAGCGAGACCGCATCTTTGACAAGCACCTGCATCCGCGGGTGCCGCGTCTCCGTATTGCCACCCCTGCACCTCTCGAATTATCTGATGATGCTTGTGTGTGGCTCGGGCTATTCTAGTTCCTTCTGGCAGCAATTACTTGTGATTCCTGCGCCGTCGGCCAGGTGCTGGCCGTGATGGGGTCTCTTGGATCCCTGGGTCGTAAGCCCTCGTCGTCGGTCTCTGCTGATTGAGAGTTGTGCTTCACTCCTTTTCCATCGCCCCGCTCCGTCCGTCACCCGAACTCGGCGCGCTCTTCTATCTGGGTCCGTCCTCTTCCCCTGCTCTTTTCCGGGAGAGGGAGGGGTGAAGGAGGTGGTGGTGGTGGTGGTGGTGGTGGTGGTGGTGGTGGTGGTGTATATTGCGAAGGCCTTGCGGCCGGTGCCGCCGACCCTGAATGGCGACGACGACGACGACGACGACGACGACGACGACGACGACGACGACGACGACGACGACGACGAGCGCTCTTGGGGGCCTCTTGGGGGTAGTTTGTGGCCTCTTGGGAAGCTCTCAGGGGCCGCTTGGAAGCCTCGTGGAGGCCTCTTGGGGCTTCGTGGGGGTCTCTTGGAGGGGGCCTGGGACGTCTTGGAGGCTTCTTGGACGGTCTTGGGGCTATCGTGGGCGTTTTCGGCCGATCTTTGGGCGACTCGGGGCCCTCTTGGGCCGTCTCGGGGGCCATCTTGGGCATTCGGACCTCATTTGGAGTGTTTTCGAGGTTTTTAGGCCGCCCGAAGGAAAACGAATCTGCCCCCCCACCCCCCCCGGGACCCCCCCCACCCCCCCGGGACCCCTCCCCCCCCCTGGGGAAGGGATCGAAGGGAAGGGGCTTCCCTTCGACTCGATCACGACGCTGCTAGATTTTTCTCTCGCTCACGAGCTTGAGAAGGAAGCTGCAGGGAAAGGGGACGACGGAGGCGACGACCGACGGAGAGGACGACTCGAACAGCCAAGCCCCCCGCACACGCCGACAGGGTCGACGGATTTTTGAGCCCCGTAAGAGTGGAGGTCCGGCCTTCAGGATAGGACGGAGGTTTTTCGCCCGTCTGGGAAATGGTTCTCGAAGGAGACGGCTCCGGATGTTTTTTTCATTGCGTGTGCCGTCCAAGGTTTCGCTCCCGTGGCCCTGGAGGGCCTTCCAAAGGCAGCCCGGTGCCAAAAGCTGGTCTCTGTCGGATCGGCGGCGAGCGAGGGGGGGAAGTGAGAAGCCCTCTGGCCTTACTGGGAAGGTTTTTCTATACCTTCGGGCGCGGCCCAGATGACTTCTCAGAGGGCCAGGGGAGTTGCGAGCCTTCCTGAGGCGGCCAGCCCCCTCTCACTTCCCCCCAGGCTGGCCGCCGAGTGAAGGCCCAGGGGTCCAAGACTCGTTTCCATCCAGGCCGTGCCAACCTCCCCCGCCCTCAATCTCCCCCCCCCCCCCCCGCCTCGCGCTCCGTTTCTTATCTCGTTCTTCTCCGTCCGCCTCTCCCTTCCTCCTCCTTTTCTCCTCCTCCTCCTCCTCCTCTCCTCCTCCTCCTCCTCCTCCTCCTCCTCCCCTCCTCCTCCCCCTCCCCCTCCCCCTCCCCCTCCTCCTCCGCCTCCTCCTCTTCCTCCCCCTCCTCCTGCTCCTCCTCCTCCTCCCTCCTCCCCCCTCCTCCTCCTCCTCCTCCTCCTCCTCTCCTCCTCCCCTCCTCCTCCTCCTCCTCCTCCTCCTCCTCCTCCTCCTCCTCCTCCTCCTCCTCCTCCTCCTCCTCCTCCTCCTCCTCCTCCCTCCCCCCTCCCCTCCCCCTCCCTCCTCCTATCTCCTCCTTCTCCCTATCCTCCTCCTGCTCCTCCTCCTCGTCCTCCTCCTCCTGCTCCTGCGTCCGCCTCTCCCTTCCCCCCGCTCCCTTCACTGCTCGAGACAAGACGTAGACTCTGTCCTGGCAGAGGTTGTAGATGGTTGTGCTCGTCGAGGGAAGCGGCAGTCTGACAGGGCACCCGAGGATGCATTCAAGGGCTCCAGGGGAAATTTTGGGAATGTTTTTCGTCCAGTTCGTCACATACCTACATTTTGCTCGGAGCACTGCGATTGCATGTTCGCTTTCCCGCGCTTGGCAGGGGTAAAGTCTGCGTCGCAGATAATACCTCATCCATCCTCGATCCACTGCTAGTTGAATCCTAGTATTGCTCGGACCACTGCGATTGCATGTTCGCTTCCCCGAAGCCTGGATTCGAACCGATCCGCAGTGATAGCCAGCGATGTGGTCCCTCGGTGAAGGAGGATTGCATGGTCCTCCACTCTACCTATCACGACACCGCTGCTATCAATCACCCCCCGGTAAGTCACGAGGTCGGTTCACCCATTCATCGAACATCACGAGTTGGTTGGTGAAAGGGACCACCCGCGTAATGATACAGCCGTGACAATCTTTCCATCCTCCCTCCTCTTCCTCCTCGCCCTCCTAGACTCTCCTCCTTCTCCTCCTCCTCCTCCTCCTCCTCCTCCTCCTCCTCCTCCTCCACTCTCCTCCTCCATTCCTTTTCCTCTCCCTGACGCACCTCGAGGCCGGTCGAAAGGGCGAGCCGGGCGTTTCGCCTGAGAGGTCCTCACCATTTATGACCTTGTAGCTTAAAGATTGGCAACAGCTTCACAGATGGAGGGCGGGCCGTTTTCAAAATGTGGCTCTCGCCTTGGCGCCGCGCACATAGGTTTTCAACAATGTGGAAGAGTTTCATGGATTGAGGGCGGCCTGTTTTCAAAATGTGGCTCTCGCCTTAGCGCCGCGCACATTCCTTTTTCAAAGAGATTGCAAGAGTTTCACGGATTCCAATGGTCAAGGTTAAAAATGGTGTTCGGGAAAGATTCAGCATTATGATGGGCTCAACTGTTACGTTAATTCGTAGTGTTGAAGGCCCAAGAAACGCGTTCTGGCACGATTCAGGATCGTCAAGACGCAACAATCAGGTTGATCCGTGACGTTGGAGTCCCGAAAATAATGTTCTGGTACGCTTCAGGCTCTTCAAACAGTTGTCTTCCAACGAGGTAGTTCCCTCAGTGGAGATGAACCGTTGTACGGGCCTATGAGGAGGGAGCTTGGAGGGAGGGTTTGTTCCAACATTGTTGATGACTCTTGGGTTTACACTGGTCCTCCTCCTCCTCCTCCTCCATCCTCTCCTCATCAATTCTCCTCATTATTCCTCTTCTTCCATCCTCCCCCATCCTCCTCCAGTATTTTCCTCCGTCCTGTGTCCTCCGCGCACATCTCCCCTGCCGATTTTTCCAATCGCACACCGTGCTTAGCCAAACGGTCCAGACGGGCCTCCTCCTCCTCCTCCTCCTCCTCCTCCTCCTCCTCCTCCTCCTCCTCCTCCTCCTCTCCCTTCCTCCTCCTCGCCCTCCCTCCCTTCCTGCATCTTCGAGGGAGGCGGCAGAAGTGCCCCGAGGGGGGCAAGCACAGCTGGATTCCTCTGTGTGCTCTGCCTCTCTTCCCTCCTCGAGCGTGCTCCCGCCGACTCCCCGCCCTCGTCGCTCAGACTTCGGCTGCGGCTCCCCTCGATCCGACTCTCCCCGGCTCCTGCTCCCTCCTCTCGCCCGCGCTGCCCTCGCACGGGGCCAGCCCGCCATATAGCGACGGTGCGCGCCCTTGTGCGGGACTCCCCCCGCCGAGAGCCCATCGGCCCCGGAGGTGACGGCGCGGCTCGTGGTGCTCGGGCCCGAGAGGTTCTGGAACCAGAACGCCTGCATGAACCGCCTGGACCTCGTGAACGTGTACGGCGCGCCGCGCGCCCTGGCGCGCCCGAAAAAGCCTCCACCTCCCCGACGCCGCCCTCGGAGATCCCTGGAGGCCTGCGCCGGTTCCTGGAGGTGTCCTCGCCTCGGGGCGCCCAGAGGCTCAAAACGTCCAAGTGGGGGGTCCAGCCTCCATCACTTTGACACTTTTTCCTCCGAAATGGAGGTTCGATCTTCCCAGAGATCGGTTGTCGTGTTTTTTTCAATGCGGGGTTCCCGCGGCTTCCGACCCTTTCCTCGTGGCCGATTTTTCATCCTGAGTTGTTTTTTGACGGTCTCGGGGCCTGGCGAGGGTCTCGCAAAAGCCGAGAAGGGCGACAAACCTCCGTCTTGATGTCTTCAATACGCTGGACCTCTGGGTTCCAATGGTAGTGTCTGATCTTCTGGGTGCTTCCCAGCGGCTGCGCCTCGCCGACGGCGTCCCAGGGCTGCCCGGGCCGTCCCACGGACGGCTGCCAGAGGCCCGAGCCGTCACCAAGAAAGGCCACTATACTTGGACTTTGGCGTCCAGAAGGAGGAGGAGGAGGAGGAAGAGGAGGAGGAGGAGGAGGGAGGATGAGGAGGAGGAGGAGGAGGAGGAGGAGGAGGCTCGAGCGAGCTGCTCATCCTCGAGGAGCGATTGTCGTGGACGGGTAAACAGTTATCACCTCTTGCACGGTGGAGGGGAAAACTTAAGCAACATTCCCCCCCTCCCCCGCAATTCAAAGTTGGCAGGTTCCTTGAAGACCGCCTGGAGGCCCAACATCGGAAGATCCGAAACCAGCGATGCAGTTTTGGGGAGGGGCTGAGTTCAAACCATGGGTTCTGCATGAGTGTTGCTCAGTTGTTTCCTACACCTGTATGTCTCGACATCTTTTTTGTCACTCAGCCCAGCGCCGCGTTCGTAGTACTCTTCAGCCTTGCCACTGCGCTCTCTGCGGGAGCGGCCAGCCTTCCAGAGGTGAGGGCCCCCTCTGAGGCCCACGGGTGCACAGGGAAGCGGCCCGCGCGAAGCGCGATCCCAGACGATCCGCGATCCCGATCCGACTCTGCGCCGATTCAGGCGCGATCCCCAGAGATCTAACGCATTGAAAAAATCAAGACGGAGGTTTTTTGCCCTTCTCGGCTTTTAGAGACCCCCGCAGGGCCCCGAGACCGTCAACAAACAACTCAGGATGAAGCACAGGCCATGGGGAACGGGTCGGGACTCGCGGGGGCCCCGCATTGCACAAATCACGACAACCGATCTCTGGGTCCGATCCGTTTCCGATCCGGTCCGACTTCGCGATTCGATCCCTGGCCAGGCAGCGCAACGCGTCCCAGTCGTTGCTTGACGAGCGGGTGCATTCGTGAGAGAAGTGGCACGGCTCAGGTACCCCGGAGGCCTCTCCCGATGAGCCGGTCCGTGATGTCCTTCGCAACGTTTTTCAGGGTGCCCCCCCGGGACGTCGGACCCGGAAGGGAGGTATGTAGTGAGCAGATCGCCTCCCCCAGTGCGGAGTGGACGCCGCTGAATTCTAGTGCTTCCCGTGGGGCTCGCACCCTGTTTTTGATCAGGGAAAGTCACACTAGGCTCAAACTGGGCCCCTGGCCCCCGAGTTACAATAACAATGGCTCCCGCCTGATACTTCCTCACAATTTATTCCCAAATCGCGCTCTCGCGAGGGACTTCCTCACAATTCTTGACGCTTCAGAAACGATGCCCAGAGGAATTGCCTCGATCAGGGAAGGGGGCAGCACACAGAGGAAGGAAGGGTCCCACAGTGGAGGCCTCTTGGAGAGTCCTGGGGGCCTCTTGGCGGTCCCGGACGCCTCTTTGAGTGTCTTGGGTGCCGCGGAGAGCTTGGGGCCTCTCGGGGGTCTCTTGGGAGCCTCTTGGAGGCCTCTTGGGCGCCTGTTGGGGCTCTTGGGGCCCTCTTGAAGCGCTCTTGGGAGCCTTTGGAGCGCTCTTGGGGCCATCTTGGAGGACATCGATCAAACAAGAGGGAACATTAATTAGCATTGTCCCTCGGGAGCCCCAAAAGTCGCCTCTTGGGGCGCTCTTGGAGCGCTCTTGGGCGCTCTTGGGGCCGTCTTGGGGCTCTCTTGAGCCTCTCTTGGAGCCCTCTTGGGCCATCTTGGAGCCAGTTTGAGGTCTCGGATGGCCATCGGAAGCGAAAAGGCTAGAAAGCCAAAAACATTGATTTTCCTAAGGTTTTGGACGGATTTTAGTCTCTTCGGGGCCTCCTGGTGGAGCTCTTTGGCCACTTGGAGCCGTCTTGGAGCGGTCTTGGGGCCTGTTGGAGCATCGTGAGAGCCGTCTTGAGGCATCTTGGGATATCTTGAGCCATCTTGGAGGTCATCTTGGGCTCGGCCAGGCGCTCTTGGAGTCATCTTAATCAGTGCCCCCCCCCAGGAGGCCAAAATGTGGCCAAAACCTTTTTAAAGTCAATGATTTTGGCATTCTCGCCGATGCCAATTGGAGCGTCTTGGGTGACTCTGGGCGGCCCCTTGGGGCCTCTTGGGGGTCTCTTGGGAGCCTCTTGGGGGCATCCCGGGGGCCTCTTGGGCGCCTCTTGGGGCCTCCTGGCCACCTCTTGGGGCCCTCTTGGGGCCCTTCTGGGGCCTTCTGGGGCACCCTTGGGAGCGCTCTTGGGGCCATCTCGGAGGAGATCGATCAAAGAAGGGGGGTTCCCTAATTAGCCCCCCCCCCCCCCCAGGAGGCCACAATGAGGCCAAAACCACACGAAAACCAATGATTTTGGCTTCCTCGCCGAGGCCGTTTTGGACGCTCAAACTACCCGCGGAACCCCCCGTCCAGGTCCAGGGGAGGGGTTAGGGGGAGGGGTAAACCCCTCCCCGAAGGGGAAGAGGGAGGGGTGGAAGAGGAAGCTCCCTAAACCGCCCACGCCCCAAAGGGGTGGTGGATTCCTGGGTCACCTGCGGGGACGCAGAAAGAATCGCGCTCCGTGCACCCCGGTCCGGGCCAGAGCGGCCACCCGGGCGCGATTCGCGAAGCTGGGTGGCCTACGGTAGGTTCGCGTCGTGCCGACCAGCGGCGACCCCGCCAGCAGCGTTCAACGTTGAACGCCGCGGGCCACCCAGAATCGTTCGATGTGGAACGATGTGGACGCTTCGGAAACGGCCGATCGTTCCAGGATGAACGATCCCCGCGGTGTCAGAAACCAGCGCCGAAGTCGGCACGACACGAACCTCACGTAAGAGGATCGTCCCCTCCAGCCTGGAGTGGACGCCACGGCACTCCTCTCCAGGCACCACCCGGTGGGCCATCCCCAAGGAGGATGATCCGAGGCCCGAGCGGAGCACCGGACGGCTTCGCCCCCTGGTGAAATCCGCTCGGTGCCGACGCGGCAGGCTCTTCGGCGCTCGCCCTCCTCCTCCTGCTCCTCCTCCTCCTCCTCCTCCTCCTCCTCCTCCTCCTCCTCCTCCTCACTGCTTTCGGGCATTCCGCAAGCAACGGGGCGCTGTAGATGAGGGGGCATCGAGGGCTACGGGAGGGGGGCGCCAGCCAGAGGGCCCCCCGTGGAGCCACGAGGGTGCGCGAAGATGGCGCCTTTTCTGCACCTGGCCGTGGATGGCCCCCCGATGGAGCGACGCCGGGCTCCCGGTTCCCCTCGGGCCTCCCAGACATCCGGCTGCTCCAATGTGTTCGATGCGTGTTCCCCGGCGGTCCAAAGACCGCTTCCCCGGGGCCGGTTTTTCTCGTCCCCGTCGCCGTTTTTGGACACGCTCGCGAGGCCCAGCGAGGGCCCCTGGAGAGGCCGAAGACCGCCAAAGTCCCGCCGCTCCAATTTCTGATGGAGCGTCGGATCTCTGGGCTCTGCGAGGCCTGGTCGTCGCGGAGGCCGTCTGCAAGAGCATCCCGGCCTACGCCGATGTGGCGCGCGGCAGGGGCCGGGGCGCGGCGCGCCGCGCGCAGCGGGGCGGCGGCCGAGGGGCAGCGCCGAGATCACAGGCGTGAGTCTTCGGGCGCTCGCGCGGATTTCTTGGGCCCTCCCGCCCGCCCTCCCTCCCTCCATTGCTGTTCCTTCTGATCAACTCCTCCCTGTCGCACCCCGCGGGCCGCTTTTAGGGCGGTCCAGGCGTTTCGCCCGAGACTTCCTCACCGTCCATGGTTCTGAAGCTCAAGAACTGGCAACAGTTTCACAGATGGAGGGCGGGCCGTTTTCAAAATGTGGCTCTCGCCTTAGCGCGGCGCACATTCGTTTTCAACTTTTGCTTGAGCTTCACAGATTGAGTGCGGGTCGTTTTCAAAATGTGGCTCTCGCCTTGGCGCGGCGCACATTCGTTTGAACACATGCCAGAGTTTCAAGGATTGAGGGCGGGTCGTTTTCAAAATGTGGCTCTCGCCTTGGCGCGGCGTACATTCGTTTAAAACATTTGCAAGAGTTTCATGGATTGAGGGTGGTTCCCTTTTCAAAATGTGACTCTCAGGATTCAGGGTTATGCGGGTGCTACAGTTATGTTGATTCGCTGTGTTGAAATCCCAGGAATGGCGGTCTGGCACGATTTAGGATTGTCAGGACGCAGCAGTCAGGTTGATTCGTGGCGTTGGAATCCCGAGTACAATGTTTTGGCATGCTTCAGGGGCTTCAAACGGTTGTTTTCCAAAGAGGCAGTTCCTTCAATGGAGATGAACTGTTGTAGGGGCCTGTGAATAGAGGGCTTGAAGGGAGGGTTTATTCCAACATCTTTGATGACTCTTGGGTTTGCACTGGTCCTCCTCCTCCCTGGGCCCTCCCTCGGCGATCGACGTTCGATCCATGCCCCTGCTGGTGCCCCCCAACCCATTTGGGTGCCAGGCGCAGCAGGGTCATGGGCAAAAACCCGCGGCCTCGGAGGCCAGAGTTTGATGCCCGCTCCCCGCTCTCCGGCCTCCTCGCAGGGGTCGGGGCCCCAGCAGGGGCATGGGCAGGTTGATGGGCCCATTTTCCACCACCACTACCACAGGTAGGACGGGGGAGAAAGGAGGATGGGGATGCCCTCCTCCTCCTCCTCCCCGCCCTCCTCCTCCTCTCTCCCTCCTCTCCTCCTCCTCCTCCTCCTCCTCCTCCTCCTCCTCCTCCTCCTCCTCCTCCTCCTCCTCCCCCTCGTCCTCCTCCTCCTCCTCCTCCTCCTCCTCCTCCTCCTCCTCCTCCTCCTCCTGCTCCTGCTCCTCCTCCCCCTCTCCCTCCCCGAGCCAGCCTCCCCCCCCCGCCCAACCGCTCCACCCCGCACTCGCGAGAGGACCAAACGCGGGGAGAGGGCCGCCCCTCGCGGCAGCCCTCCCGGCGCGGGGCCCCCCCAGCGGCGGGGGGGGCCGCCGCCGGGCCCTGCAGCTGAGGGCACCGCGCCCTTCGCGCCTCGCGGCTCGGGTCGGGCAGGGCTCACTTCGACCCCTCCAATTCGATTTCGATTCGAGTTCGATGGCTTCCGATTCCGATGCCGATTCGATTCGACTCGGGACTCCGACTCGGGATCCGGTTCCTAAACGGAGGCCTACACTGGCCTGCCGATGTCTGCCGCTTCGACTTTTCTCGACTCGCCGATTTCCGCCGATCCGATTCGTCTCGATCGCCGATTCGACGTATCGATTCGATTCTGGGCTCTCCTGCCCTTCTCCGGAGCGGCGGCGGCGGCGGGGCGCGAAGTGAAGAGGAGTGCGCTTACGGTCGGACCGAGGTCGGCTCGGGGAGGGTACCCGAATTCGAAGAAGAAAAAGCGCCAGGAACATAAACTTTGGGCGCTCCGCGCCCCAGCGGCATTTCCGGCGCCGCACTTGGCGCGTTCCGCGCGCCAGGAAGGGGGTCCGGCGCAGATCCAAGAAATCCGCGCGGAGCGCCAAAAGTTTGTGTTTATGGCGTTTTGTCTCATTCTACTCGAAGATGGCGGGGGGGACGTCATTGGTGTTGGAGGTTCCGTGCGCGAAAGCCTTCTTGTAAGGCCGAGCCCAAGAGAAAATCTTCCGTGCCCGCGTCGCACACACGGATTCCCCAAACGGTGCTTGTGCTCAGGGGTTCGTGCTTCGGTTCCTAAGGAGTTGGATGGGTCCGCCAAGGTTTCGCCACGTGGCCGCCCGTTGCCGCCGTTTTGCCGCCCACCGTTGCCGCCCCGTTGCCGCCCACCGCACCTGGGAGGTCCGTCGAGGGATCGCCACGTTGCCGCCCGCTACCGCCTCTTTGCCGCCGACGGGTCCGTCGAGGCTTCGCCCACGTTGCGGCCCGTTGCCGCCTCGTTTCCGCCGACCGCACCTGGAGAGTCCGTCGAGGTTTCGCCACGCTGCCGCCTCATTGCCGCCCACCGCGCTCGGGGGGTCCGTGGAGGTTTCGCCACGCTGCCGCCTCGTTGCCGCCTCGTTGCCGCCCACTGCGCTCGGGGGTCCGTCGAGATTTCGCCACGTTGTCTCCTCGTTGCCGCCTCGTGCCTTGGGTGGTTGCCCCGAAGTTTCGCCACGTTGCCGCCTCGTTGCCGCCTTGTGCGCTGGGTGGGTATGCCGAGGATTCGCCACGTTCCCGCCCGTGGCGCCTCGTTGCCGCCCTGTGCGCTGTGTGTGTGTGCCCGTGTCGCCTCGTTGCCGCGTTGTTGCCGCTTCGTGCGTTGTGTGGGTATGCAGAGGAGTCGCCGCGTTCCCGCCCGTTGCCGGCCCGCTGATGCCTCCCTGCGTAGCCTACATCGCAAAACTTATACCACGTAGATTGCGCCGCGTAGATTGCAGCACATGGCTCATTCCAGAGAGCTTGCACCACATAGCTTACGCCACGCAGCTTGCACAACAGATCTTGCGCCAGATATCTTACACACAGCTTGCACACCACATTGCAATATCTTACTGTTTGGGGTCCACGCTGGCATACGTATATGTGTATGTTAATATGATACCGGAGAAAATCAATCATAATCTTTTTAGGGAGGGCTATGGGGCTATAAGGCTATAGGGCTAGAAGGCTATGGGGCTATAGGGCTATTGGGCTATAGGGTTATGGGGCTGTAGGGCTATAGGGCTATACGGCTATAGGGCTACAAGGCTATAATGCTATAGGGCCATTAGGGCTATAGGGCTACAGGGCTACAGGGCTATAGGGCTATGTAGAGCTACCGGGCACCTGGGCACCCCGGCACCCGGGCACCTGGGCACCCAGGCACCCGGGCACCCGGGCACCACGGCACCCAGGCACCCGGGCACCCGGGCACCCGGGCACCCCCGGGCACCTGGGCACCCGGGCGTGCGGCGAAAATCGGCGGCAAACCTAATAACCAAACCATATGAATCCGCTAGGACCCCTACAGAGGCAAGCTCTGATTGGGGAACACACACATACATATTATTCTTCCTATCTTGTTACAAGCTGGGGTGGTGGGAAAACCTCCCCCCTCCAAAACCGGGCCCCCCAGGATCCAGGGTTCCCGGGCCTCCCGGACACCGTTGCCGAAGGTCCTCCGGCTCGTCCAGGACCTCCCAGGGCGATTAGCCGGGTTTTCCCAGCAGGCCGCAAGCGATCAGAGCGGTGATCAAAGAGGCCGAAGAGAGACCCAAGACAGCACAAGAGCGGTCCAAGAAGGACCCAGATGGCCTCCAGAGGCCCCCAAGACGGCCCAGGAGGCCCGCAACAGGACTCCCAGAACGCAAAAATCGCTTCATTCCCTTAGGGAAACGTGCATTTTCAGAATATTCGTTATTCGGGTCTTAGCAGGGTCCAAAACAGCCAAAAAGGCTTCCGATATCGCACCAAGACGGCACAAGAGACCCCCCAAAGAGCCTTTAGACGGCCTGGATGGCCCCAAGACTGCCCTAAGAAGCCCCAAATGGGCCAAAAAGAAGCCCACCAGTCCCTCAAAAGGCCCCAAAGAGAACCCCAAGAAGGCCATGGGAGGTCCCCGAAAAGGCCATGGGAGGCCTCTAGGAGGGCCCACGTAGGCCCCGTAAGATCCCTAGAGGGCCCAAGCTCCCCAACACGGCCCAAGATGGCCCCATGACGGTTTGAGGCTTGAAAGGGCCCCGAGTCGGCCCACCAGGGCTCCAACAAGGCCCACATGGCATGTTCCACCAAACTGACCCGAATCCTGGGTTCGCAACCACATTTCCCGGAAATCTGTTGCGAACCCAGGATTCGGTGCATTTCCCAACAATTACTTATTTTCGCGTGCCCCGTTGCAACCCGCTGCGACATGACCACCTCGGCTTGGCATTGCTTTGCGTTTTGCGGCATTGCTTGACATTGCGTCGGTTTACTTGGCATTCATTCGCATGCCTTGCCATTCCTCACATTGCGCACCGGGGCACCTGAGCCACGAGCCGGGTAATGTGCGGGCCTACGAAGGCGTTTTGTCGTCATTCATTGCCAGGCATTTCTGCAAGCGTGTACGTACATTCGAACCCCCCCGACGGCGCCATCTCTTTCCGTCCTCCTGCTCCTCCTCTGGGTCCTCCTCCTCCTCGTTCTGCCGCCACTCGTCCTCCCCCAGATCCACTTCCCTCCTCGCTCCCCAAGATTCCCTCCCTCCTATCCTTCGCCCTCCACCTGGCGCCTTTCGGGAGCCCCCGGAGGCCCAGGAAGGGCCAGGAACCTCCCGAATTGTCGACGACTTCCGAAAACCATCGCAGGGCAGTGGCCAAATTTCCAAGGCCACTGGGGATGGCGCGAACGACCAACATATGCAAAGCCTCAAGGACCAAAGTGCATGGCGCGAAGCGCCAATGCAGTCTTGTGTGTATATATATATATATATATATAGACAGCTATTCCCATTCATATGCTTTAGCTCCCGGGACCCCCACCGAAATCGGACCCTCCGAATCCTGGACCCTCTGGACTCCCCAAGTCCGTAGCCTGTGGGACCCCCTGGACGCCACTGCAGGAGGCCCCCCAGACGTTTCAGAGTTGGTGGAAGCCCTTGCTGGGCCTAGGCGACGGGTCCAAATCGGTGAGGAGGGCGGCCGAACGCCCCCCCGAGGGCCCCAAGAGGTCCCAGACACCCAGACGCCCGAAGACGACCCCAAAGAAGAGCCCCAAAGTCCCAAAACACTGAAAAACATGGATTGCCCAGATTTTCCCATGATTTTGGGAATGCCCTGTTCTTCGGTCGTCTGGGCGTCCGAGACCGCCTGGGAGGCTCGAAGATCGCCCCCAAACCATCCGACAGTGCTTCAAGGCAGTGCAAGAGAGCCCCAAGACGGCACAACAGGGTTCCAAGATGGCCTGAGAGAGCCCCATGACGGCCAAAGATGGCCCCAAGACGCCCTCCGAAGCAATCCAAATCGTGACCTGGTCGTTCAGGGAGACCGCGGTTGGAGGCAGAGTGGACCGAGGAAGCCCCCGGAGGCCCCCAGAAGACGCCCCGGAGGCCTCGCGAAAGTTTTAAGAAAGCTTCTTGGGGCCGTTTGGAGGCCTCCTGGGCGCCTTTTGGGGGCCTTTGGGGGTTTCCTTGGGCCATCCTGCTTCCAATCGCGGTTTCCCTGAACGACCAGGTCACGATTTGGAATGCTTCGGGGGGCGTTTTGGGACCGTCATGGGGCTCTCTTCGGGCCATCTTTGAACCCTGTTGTGCCGTCTTGGGGTTCTCTTAGATTGCCTGGAAGCCCTTTCGGATAATTGTCGGGGAGACGGACGCCCAGAAGACCGAAGAACTGAGCACTTCCAAAATCACACAAACACTATTGAAAAACAATGGTTTTCTGCGTTTGGAAAGCCTTTGGGGGTCTTCTTTGGGTCGTCATCGGGCGTCTTGCTGGTGTCTGGGGTTTCTCGGGGCCCCAGGGGGGGCGTTCGGCCGACCTCCTGACCGATTTGGGTCCGTTGCCTAGGCCTAATTAGCAGGGGCTTCCAGGAGCTCCGGAAAGCTTGGGTGGCCTCATTCCAGGGGGCCCCCAGGTCCACGGATCCGTCGGGTCCCGTTTTTGTGGGGCCGGGTCCCCCCCAGCATTTGAACACATAAAATGTTAGTATGTATGTACATGTGCACATATAGATCTCTCTCTATATATAGATATCTATGTGTGTATGTATATGAGATTATGTATACGTGGTCAGGCACGTGACTATAAATGTTATATGTATGCATGTATACACACACATGCAGTATGGGTGGGCATGTTATGTGTACGTCTGTGTATAGGTGTGCATGTATTAGTTTACGTATCGGTACGTATGCGTACATGTATCTGTCCATGTATTTATATATATATATACACATATATGTATAGATTTACATGTACTATATATACACACGAAATTACACACATTTGGAAGTGTGTAAATATCTGCACATACACGTAAGGGTATCGGAAATTGGGGGGCGAGACCGGAGTGAAACGAAGACCTCCCTAACAAGGAGGTCGGTTTCGGTTTCCTGTTCGTGTCGCGCGTGCGGGCGAGGCGGAGCTGCGTAGGCGGGCGAGAACACTTCTCTGGCTAGGGCGCCGCCGGGCCAAAAGACCGCCCCCCAGGTTGTCCGGCGGTGGCCGAGGGTGTCTCGCCGTGATTGTCCTGTGGTGTCCCGTGGAGTCCCGCTTTGTCCAAATGGTGTTCCGATGGTGTTCCGATGGTGTATTGGTAGTGTCTCGTTGGTGTCCTGATGGTGTCCCGATGGTGTCCTGTTGGTGTCTCGATGATGTTTCCCGATGGTGCCCCGTGGTGTCCCGTGGTGTCCCGCGGTGTCCCGATGGTGTTCCGATGCTGTCTTGGTGGTGTCCCGATGGTGTCCCGATGGTGTCCCAATGGTGTCTTGGTGGTGTCCCCGTGGTTTCCCGATTGGTGCCCCGATAGGTGTGCCAACTGCGGTTGTCACCAGTTGGTCCCTCCCCCTCACGACCTCCTTATCACCCGAAGGGTGGTCATATAGATATAGAAACAGATGCATGCATACATACATGTGATTTTTCAGGCTGGCGCCACATCCGCCGACCCCTTGGAGCGATCTGGGGGCAGTTCGGGCCACCGTGCACGCGGATAGCACCAAAGGGGGGAATCTACTGAAACATTATGCTTTGTGGTGAAATCTGTGGATTGGCGCGCCTTGGGGCACTCTGAGGGGCTCCGACACGCCGAGAGGTCCCAGGGGGCGCTGGTGGATTGCGGGACGTATTCTCCCTTCTTCATTTCGTGGCGGCGACGAGAGATTCAGAAGCTCCAGAAAGGTTGGGATACGGGGGAAGTTTTTGGTAGGAGAATAGCAGGAGGGAGGAAGATTGAGGGGTAGGGATGATGATGGAAAGGGGGGGCGAGGCTGAGGTGGAGGAGGAGGAAGAGGAGGAGGAGGCGAAGGCGAAGGCGGATGAGGAGGAGGATGAGCAGGAGGAATAATAACAATAAGAGTAAGAAGAAGACAAGGATGAGGAGGAGGAGGAGAAGGATGAGGCGGAGGCGGAGGAGGAGGAAAAGGAAGAGGAGGAGGAGGAAGAGGAGGAGGAGGAGGAGGAGGAGGAGCGGAGGAGCGGGGCCGAATTGCAGGAACCATTCCAGATCGCACGCGGTGTCATACCAAGTTCAACGTGCCAGGTGGCGCAGTACGAGCCATTTTGGCTCCAGACATTTGGTTCAGTCCATTTGGATTCAAGTCTCGGCTGAAGAGGAGGGCCGAGCGGGGAGCGCATTGCGCCAGGACCATGCTGCCCCTCGCGTTCGTTGCAGCGGTGGCCTTGGCCCCCAGCGTGGCCGGCACATCTGGGCGACGCCGTTATTACGAGTTGGCGTACCCATCCGAGGTCCAAGCAGCAGACGGCGAGTACACGCTCGAGATGGGAGAGGGCCTGCTTCTCCCCAATCTGGCGACGCGCGTGTACGTCAACGGGCCGACGTTCCGCATGAAGCCGGGCGAGTCTCTCCGCATCAAGCTACAAAACAGTTTGTCCGCCGAGCACAATGTCGGCTGCGACGTCACAGGGACAGAGTACTGCGAGGCGTCCACCACCAACCTTCACACGCACGGCCTGCACACCTCTCCTTCGGGCCCGAACGAGCTTGGCGTCTCTGGCGACGACGTGTCCCTGGCGGTGGAGCCTGGCGCAAGCCAGCAGTACGAGTTCACCATCCCGGATTACCACATGGGCGGCACGCACTGGTACCACCCGCACCACCACCACGCCACCGCCCTTCAGGCGGGTGGCGGGGCCGCTGGTGCGCTCATCGTCGACGACCCTCCTGGCTACCTGCCCGAGGTGTACGCCAGCATGGTCGAGAAGGTCCTCGTCATATCGAACCACAACCTGGCCGCGCTCGAGAACATCGCCCAGATGGCGCATTCCGGTCTGCTGGAGAACGCGTCTGCAATCGCGGCGGCCGAAGGGTACGCCAAGAACATCTTTCTCGTGAACGGCCAGCTCGCTCCGACCATGAGCATCAATTCCCACGTGTGGTACCGCCTGCGCACCGTCTTCGCGGCGGTGCAGCAGGGCCTCAGGCTGCACGTGGACCCGAGAGAAAACGGGCTGGCCAACTGCTCGTGGTACTTGATCGCAAAAGACGGCGTCTACCTCAACGAGATCCCGAGGAAGATCGACAAAGCCGACCTCGTTCCTGGGGCCCGCGCGGACATCGCCATGTCCTGCACCTGTGCGACGTACCCCTGCAGAGCGGTTCTGAGGTCCCAACCGTTCCCCACAGACCAGATCTCCCGCAGGATGTCAGACCCTCAGACGACCACCGATGGGCCCGCGACCACCGTCGAACCCGGCGCGGATGGCCAGACCAACGACGCTCCCACAGACGATGCCACCGCCGATGTGGCAGAAGTGACCGTCCTTAAGATCATCATCACGGAGACGGCCGACGGCACGGTCAAGGAGCTCCCGGTGTTCTCGCCGGACCGCCCGTGCTATCTTGCCGACCTGCGGCAGGCGGCTTTGCCGAGCGGGCAGTCGGGGGCGCACATGGTGCTCTCGGGCCCCTTGCGCGCGGTCACCTGGGACGGGGAAGGCAAGAGCATGACCTACCAGAACATGAAGGCTGGGAACAATGGGACTGGTTACACCATTCGAAGAAGGAAGGTCTGCATAAGCATAGGCTTTCGCGGCTCCGCGCGAATCTCTTGGATCGGTGCTGGGCCCCCTGGCGGCGCTTTCGGCGCCGCCCCTCCGCGCGCCAGGGAGGGGGGGCCAGCGCCGATCCGAGAAATCCATGCGGAGCTGTGACAGTTCAGGTTTATGCGTTTTTTTCTTCTTCCAACCATGAAGGAGTGGCCGCCGATCACGGACTTTACTGTCGGGTCGGTGTACGAGTGGAGTGTCTCTTTCAATGGACATCCGCTGCACCTGCACGTGAACCCGTACCAGATCCAGGACATGAGCGGGGAGAGCTCCCGCGACAGCGGCTACTACCAGGCCGGCGACTGGCACGACACCCTGATGCTCGACGTCGACGCGACGGTCCGGATGAATGTCGACCGGTTCACGGGGAGCATGGTCGTGCACTGCCACATCCTCTCGCACGAGGACGAGGGGATGATGTCCCTCATCGGCCTCACGGGCACCGAGGGCGCCGCCTACTCGCAGGACGGCGCCACCGGCTGCTACAGCACCGCGTGGAGCCCGGGGCAGACGCAGGTCGTCTCGGGGGCGCTGGGCCCGGCCTGGGGCGGCCTCGGCGCGCTCGCCCTCGCCGCCGCCGCGGCGCTCTGAGCGGTGGGCGCGGCTTGCGGCGGCCCGCCGCGGCGCACGCTGAGGCAGCCAGGCGCCACGGCACGGCAGCGGGAGCCGCTGGCGGGCCTCCTCCCCGGCCTGGTGCGCCCCGCAAGGAGGCAGTCCCCAGCCGCGTCTCTTTTGTGGTTTGGGCGAGTCGGGATCTGATCCCGCCCCGCGTGTGGCGCGCCAACCGTGCGCAGTCGCCCTGTCTTCCACACATCTACAATTCCGTTAGGTCCGCTTGTAGGCCCACCTCCTGCGCGTGTCTGCTGCGGGCATCGTTGTTCTCAATTACAGGGGCATCTGAGGGCCCATCGCTCGGCAGCCAGCTATCCGTCGCACATTTGTCTCTCATCCTTTCTGCTGCTGTTCCTTCCCACTCCTCGAGGCTAAATCCCCCTCAAATGGGGGTGCGGGAGCCTCTTGGGCATTGCATGCCATCGGAGCTGCTAGGTTTTGGTGATTCCTCCCACGCGCATCAGCCATGGTAATTACAGATACCTGGCTCCTTTAATTCGGAGCTCTGATTTCGCGGAGAGCATCGGCGAGCCCCCACCTTCCTACAAAAAAGTGCCAGGGGGCGCAGTGGCGGAGTTGTTGACGGAGGCCATAGTCGGCCCGACATAGACGCCGCCCAGAGAGCAGACATCGAGGTCCGCTGGAACATTTCCGAGGGCCGTTTGGGGGCCTTCCAGGCACTCTGTGTGTCTTCTTGGGTTTTTTCGGCGTCCTCCTGGGTCTTCAAGGGGGCCGTCGCGGGCTGTCTTGGGCTCCTCTGGGGCTGTCTTGGGGCCATCTTGGGTTGTCTTGGGCCGTTCCTAGGGTCCTCTGGGGCTGTCTGGGAGGCCTCGTAGGTCGTCCTGCGACCGCGTGAAGCCGTCATGGGGCCATTGGGGGGCTTTTTGAGCCGTCTTGGGGCGATCTAGGAGGCCTCGGATGCCGTCGTTGACGTGGTGAAAACCCCAAAGGCGAATAGATTGAACATGTCAGTATTCCGAAGGGGATGAGACGATGTGTTGCTTGTTGGGGCCCTCTAGGGGGTCCTTTTGGAGCCCTTTGGTAGCGTCTTGGATGCTTCTGGGGCTGCCTTGAGGCCATCTTGGGCCGTCTTGGTGCCATCTGGAGTCACGTGGACTCCATGTTGGGGCGTCTTGGAGCCTCTGGCGCCCATTTCGAAACCACATGGGGCCGTCGGGGAGCATTTCTGGGAGGGGTGGGGCCCCTGGCCCTTCCTGGCTGGACTTTCCTCCAAACCGGCCGGACCCGGCTCCTGGGGGAGAGGTTTGGGGGGATGGGCAATGGGCAACGGGCTCCTCACACGCCGAGTTTAGACCCCAAGAGGTCGGCGGGTTATGTGATAGTGCGTGTACAGGCTGACCAGGCTGACCGCATACAGCGCGGCACTGCCCGAAAGATGGGGCGTACACGGCCCCTTTCCAGCCAGCCTGCGAAGCGAAGAGCGGTGTCCTCGACCGTTCCTCCTCGTTCCTGTTGTCTAGAGGGCGGAGTCCAATATATCTTGAGGGGGAGGCCAATGCGCCCCCAAACGCAGTCAGATGGGAGGACATTCGTCCTCGCAAGAGACTGCGGAGCAAAGTCGCGCTCGACCGTGCGGCCCTGTCCCTCGCGCGAGCCGAGGGCCTCGGGTCGACTCGACGTGCCGGTTTGATGGCGCGCGCATGCTTCTTGAGTTCTTTCAATCTGCGCAGGGTTCGGCCTAGCTCCGTTGGAAAATTACGACGTGTACATATGCATATATATATATATATACACATACGTATAATTCAAGGGAGGAAAAACCACCCAGACCCGATACCTGGCGTTTACTAAACGGCCCTGGGCGTTTACTAAACATCCCCGGCCTGTTTGATTCCTTCGTTGGGTGCGTTTATTTAGCGGCTTTGCGTGTCGGGGTGATTATTATTATGGGGGGGGATTTTCTGCCTACTAATCGAAGACGCCTACGGCGAATCACCGCCGCCCCCTGCCTTCTAGAATCGCCCATGTGGTCGAGCATTGTGGCAAGAGCTTTCCCAAGTCATCGGACCATGTGTTCCCCCAACCGTTGTGGTAACCCTTCGGGGAACACGTGGGGGAGATGGCGGGGAAGATCAGGAGGAGGAGGAGGTGGAGGAGGAGGATGAGGTGGAGGAGAAGGAGGAGAAGGAGGAGGATCATGGGAGTCTCTCGGAGGCATCTTGGGGACCCTCTTGGAGGCCTCTCGGGCTGCCTTCCGGGGCTTCTCGGGGGCCTCTTTGGCCATCTTGGTGGGCTCCTAGCCCGTCTGACGCCGTCGGAAACCGTCTTGGAGACCACTCTGGGCCGACTTGGAGCCCTCTTGGGGTGCTCCAGGGCCGTCTTGGAAGCCATCTCGGGCGTCTTGGAGGCCTCGGCCCATTCCGCCACCGTGCCTGGGTCGTCGATGTCTCTCGGGGGCACGCTGCCGGCCTGGTGCGGGCCTCCTGGGGCTCTCGGGGCTTCCCGGGGTCTCTGGGAGACCTCTTGGGGGCCTATCTATTGCGGCCCTCTCGGAGTCTCGGGGTCCTCCTTGGCTGTCTTGGGGCCTCCTGGAGCTTTCTTGAGGGCCTCCTGGGCCGTCGTGGAACGATCTTGGGGGTTTCTTGGGCCGTCGTCGGCGCTGTGGAGACAACCGAGGCGCACATGCCAAACCTGTAAGTTTTCCCAGGGGACTGAGGCGAAGCTTGCCTCGTGGGATCTTCAGGGGGTCCTCTTGGAACTCGCTTGGGGTGCTCGGGGATGCCTTCGGGCCGTCTTTGGCCCGCTGTGGGCGTCTTGGAAAGCTCCTGGACCGTCTCGGAGGCCTCGTCGACCCTCCTGGGAGCTTCCCAGGGCCCCCTTTGCCCGTTTTCGGGCTCTGCTGCGCAGGGTCGCCGTCCTGGAGGCCCACGCGAAACACGCCAGGACTCCTGGCGTGTTTCGCGTTTGGGAACCCGGGGGTCCGGGCCCTCGCGAATCTTACGTGCAAATTTTTCTCTCGTCGACCCCCTCCAGAAGTGCACGGGCCTTGGGGCACTCCGCTGCGCGCCGAAGGCACGGCGACATGTGTGTGTGTGTGTGTGGTGTGTGTGTGTGTGTGATGTGTGATGTGTGTGTGTGTGATGTGTGTGTGTGTGTGATGTGTGATGTGTGACGTGTGACGTGTGACGCGTGTGTGTGTGTGTGTGTGCCGCCCCGCCCCGCCGCGCGCCTGGCCCTGCCCTGAGCGTGCCCGGCCTCCGTTTCCCTCCCGCCAACGCCGGGCGCCTCCTCTTCCTCCCTTGGTGCCTCGCGGCCTGCAATTCGCGCTCGCTTGTCCTGCCAGCGCCCTGTTCGCCAGCGCAGTCCTTTGCCTAGCCGCCGACGTAAAAAGTGCGCGTGTGTGCGCGTGATGTCAAATCCTTTAGGCAAGATCTTGCATCACCGTGCTCTCTCGCCCCCCCCTCCCCTTCTTGCCCCTCGGCTGGCGCCCCCCCTGGAAGAGGTGGGCTCTCACCTGGTGGTGCTCCTGCACATCGCGCGCTGCCTGCGGCTCTTCCGCCACGTGAAGCAGCTCCGGCTCCAGCCTCGGCCGTCCAGGGGGGGTGCGAGGCTGGACGGGCGAGGAGGAGGAAAGGAGGAGGAGGAGGAGGAGGAGGAGGAGGAGGAGGAGGAGGAGGAGGAGGAAAGGACGAGGAGGAGGAGGAGGAGGAGGAGGAGGAGGAGGAGGAAGTTGAGGACGAGGACCAGGAGGAGGCGGAGCGGAAGGAGGGGAAGGATGTGGAGGGGGGTGGAGGAGGAGGAGGAGGAGGAGGAGGAGGAGGAGGAGGAGGAGGAGGAGGAGGGGGAGGATGAGGAGGAGGAGGACCATTGTAAACCCAAGAGTTATGAGCAGTGCAGGGCATCCTTTGGGAGGGGTTGGGCAGGGCGAGAGGTCGCTCGCGGGGGCGCGAAGATCATCATGCATCGCGCGTCGCAGTCTGGACTGGGGAGGTGCCCTTTTCCAGGGTGGCGGCGCGGTGGCGCCAAGGTAACCGCGCATTGCGGGACGCGGTGCGCGAAGTTAGGCCACCCAAGCCCTGACCCAGTTTGGGCTGCACCCCTGGATGCCCCTGACTCCCGGAGCGTGGAGGGCAACTTTTGGAGTTCGCGGAGGGTTGTGAGGACTGGGCTCGGGTATTCAGGACCAACTTTGCCCAGTACGCATGCTCAGAATCCAGGCCAACTCGGGCAACGGCTGCCACCCCTCGAGCAGCCGACCAGAGATCTGAAGGGGCTCAACGGAGAGCTTTGAACATACAGGAGATGTAATCATTGTCCCAAGGCAAATCGTAGCATCGTTCATTGAAGTACGGGCTTGGGCGGGCTAGGGAGCTCAGGGTCGGCTTCCATTGGTAACCTCCCTTTCGGATTCTCCAGGAGCTTCCACTGCCCTCGCCTCTGCTTCGCTGGCGTCGTCCCGATCCAGCTTCGCAACTCCCTGGGTCCAGCCCCCCCAACGAAAACATTGGCTTGGAGCCAAATGAACTAGCACGAACTTGTGTGTGTTGTGTGTGTGTGTGTTGCGTGTGTGTGTGTGTGTGTTCCTGCCTTGGCCGACACTCTGCTGCGTTCTGGCCTTCCTCGGCTGCTCTGCCTGCCTGGGCCGCGTCGCTGCGCGCGTGACCGCGACGCCAAAACTCTACGTGTGTGTGTGTGTGTGTGTGTGTGTGTGTGTGTGTGTGTGTAAGTGTGTGCGTATGTGTGTGTGCGTGTGTGTAAGTGTGTGTGCGTGTGTGTAAGTGTGTGTGGGCGTGTGTGGGAGAGAGGAGAGAGAGAGAGAGAGAGAGAAAAAAAGAGTGTATGCGTGTCTGTTTGTGTGTGTCTCCCGCGCGCGTGTGCAAATCCAGGGCAGGGATGACGGGCAGCCACTCAGTGGAACGACGGGCATGCGGATCCCCAGATTATTACGGCATGGTCTCCATATCGAGGGACTCAAGAGATGTGGCCAATGCGTCGATGCGTCTTATTGAGACGGGCAACGCGTTCCGTTTCTCGCACAATAGTTACGTGGCTAGAGTGGCGGTGTTCGTTCCATTCGCTGGGTGGTAGGGGCGCAGAAAGCGGTACTGCCTCGTGCAGCCGACCTCGGGGAGGTACTCTGCTCAAGGGATGCAGGTGCTGTGTGCGATGGTGCATGCCTGGCCCGTGGCAACACCTGCATAGCTCTATTTCTGAAAGTGCGCCAGTGGATCTCCCTGAATACACTGAAGGGGGGGGGGTCCAGGACCCCCTCCCCCCCTCCCCCCCTTCAAGGGGATGGGGGGCCCGGACCCCCCCCCCCCTTGGCGCTGAAGGGGGGGGGAAGGGGTTCGAACCCACCCACCCCCTCCCCCCCTTTGCGCCGGAAAGGGAGCTGGGGAGGGGGGGCCTCTCTCGCTTCTCCTTTCTGCGCCAGAGAAGGTGTGTAGGGAGTACGGAATTGGGAGTAGGGAGTGGTGAGTAGTGAGTAGTGAGTTAGTGCGTAGTGAGTAGTGAGTATTGGGTAGTGAGTAGTGGGTAGTGAGTGGCGAGTAGGGAGTGGAGAGTAGGGAGTGGGGAGTAGTGAGTAGTGAATAGTTGGTAGTGTGTACTGGTAAGTGAGTAGTGAGTGGCGAGTAGTGAATAGTGAGTAGCGAGTAGTGAGTAGTTAGTACTGAGTAGGGTGTAGGGAGTAATGAGTAGTGGGTAGTGAGTAGTGGGTAGTGAGTAGTGGGTGGCGAGTAGTGATTAGTGAGTAGTGAGTAGTGGGTAGTGCGTAGTGAGTAGTGAGTAGTGACTAGTGAGTAGTGGGAAGTGAGTAGTGAGTAGTGAGTAGAGAGAAGCGAGTGGTGAGTAATGAGTAATGAGTACTGAGTACTGAGTAGTACGTAGTGCGTAGTGAGTAGTGAGTAGTGAGTACTGATGAATAGAGAGTAGTGGGTAGTGGCAGTGGGTAGTGTGTAGTGAGTAGCGAGTAGGGAGTAGCGAGTAGTGAGTAGTGAGGAGCGAGTAGGGCGCAGTGAGTAGTGAGTAGTCAGGAGTGAGTAGTGGGTAGTGATTAGTGAGCAACGACTACGGAGTAACGAGTAGTGAGTAGGGAGTAGCGAGTAGTGAGCAGTGAGTAGTAAGAAGTGGGTAGCGAATAGTGGGTAGTGAATAGCGATTAGTGAGTAGTGAGAAGTGGGTAGTGAGTAGTGACTAGTGACCTGTGACCTGTGACTAGTGATTAGAGACAATGTAGTAACTAGTGAGTATGGAGTAGTGAGTAGTGAGTAGTGAGTAGCGGGGAGTGAGTAGTGAGTATTGAGTAGCGAGTATGGGAGTAGCGAGTAGTGAGTACTGAGTACTGTGTACTCAGTATTATCTAGGGAGCAGCGAGTAGCGAGTAGTGGGTAGTGAGTAGTGATTTGTGGGCAATGAGTAGTGAGTAGTGGATTAGTGGGTAGTGGGTAGTGAGTAGTGATTAGTCAGTAGTGAGTAGGGAGTAGTGGGTAGTGCTTAGTGAGCAGTGAGTATTGAGTAGTGGGTAGTGAAGAGTGAGTAGTGAGTAGGGAGTGGTGAGTAGGGAGTAGTGAGTAGCGAGTAGTGGGTGGTGGGTAGTGAGTAGTGAGTAGTGAGCAGTGAGTCGTGTGTAGTGAGTAGGGGGTAGTGAGAAGTGAGTAGCGAGTAGTCAGTAGTGGGTAGTGAGTAATGAGTAGTGAGGACTTTTTGGGGCTGGGGTTAGTGGTTGGGGTTCGGGTTAGGGGTTGGGGTTCGGGTTAGGGGTTTGGGTTAGGGTGAGGGACGACGGGTAGGGGTGGCGGGGGTCGGGTTCCGGAGTCAGGGGGCGGCGTGGCGAAAAGGGGGGAGGGGGGGGGGGGTGCGACCAAAGGGGGGGAGGGGGGGCGGGGTCGGACCCCCCTTCCCCCTTTTGAAAGGCTTGTGTGGGGGGGGGGGGTCCCGACGGCGGATCGGGGAAAGGGGGGGAGGGGGGGGGTGTCCCCGACGACGGATCGGGGAAGGGAGGGAGAGGGGCGGGTTCCCCGACGACGGATCGGGGGACGGAACCCCCCCCCCTTGGGAGATCCAGCGGCGCACCTTTTTCATTTCTCACATCATTGCGCGCTTCCCTTAGGGCGCACGCGTCTCGGGGAGGCATCCCGATTCGTAGCGCGGGCGCTGTCCCCCATGGGGTGGGCATATGCGGATAGGCTCACCGGTGCGATCATCCCTCTCTCAGGTTATGAGCCGCTTTTGCTTTGCCCTTCGGGCCATGTGACCGTCATCGGCAGTCTCGGTAGGAGGCTAAATTGGCGAAGTTGCACACGTGGGCAGGTCCCCGGCCTGCGTCGGCGGCAACGCCCACATAGGTCAACACGCCGATATTCAACGCTTCCTGCGCGGAAGAGATATTTCGGTCGCCCCCCCAGTGTCAAGGCTCTTTTGCTTGTTCTCTACTCATCCATTGTCTTTTTGCTTTCTCCATCCATCTAGTGTTTCTCTGCCCCCCATCCATGTGTCCATCCCTCATTTTCCTCTCTCTTCCCTTCGCTTCTGTTGTGTGCGGCATGTCGTGCGTGCCGAACAGGCCATCTCTCGACGTTGCAACGGATCTGAGCGCGCTTGCATTGTTTGCGGACATAGTTTATGCGAGCGTGTTGCGGAGCTCAAACGCCTTGGCAGAGTTGCATGATGCGCGGGTCCAGATTGGCCAGCTGGCTACCCGACTTTGGTTGACGATTTCGCCCGCGCAGGCGGCGGGCCTCATGCAGGACGCGCGCGTTACTTCTCCCAGATTCGAAAAGAGATTCGAGAATCGGAGATGCTGGAAAGGCACGGGTTGAGGCTTTCCTCGCCCGTTGGACCGCGCGCAAGTCGCGCGTTGCAAATCACACCAGGCAAGCAGGGGCCGGATTCTGCGCGCGCAGACGTCGTCTGCGCGCGCAGAATCCGGCCATGTTTCAGAGCAGGTGCCTTATTAGGGCGCTGCGGACCCATGGCCTCGCACTCTGCCATCATCCACGCTCCTAGTCGTCAAGAGTGGCCCCTAGGTCGGCGGGGGCCATGAGCACCCTCGCGATTTGATCGGCGGGTGAGGGTCGCGTCTGTCGCAGTCAGGTCACTCTTCTCATTCTCCTCTTCACTGCAGGTGCATGGACGCGGATGTCTCCGACCAGAGGGGTGTATTCCTCCTTCCGCCCTTTTGCCTCCCTCGTCCGGTCTCGCGGCCGCCGGGGGTCGCGGGGGCCTCCTCCCCGCGTGTCCCTGGAGTCGGGTCTGGCCCCTCCTTATTTTCCCTTCTTCTTCCCTTGCCAGGTCAGGGGCCTCTAGCAGGGGGGGTCGCAGCCCTGCAGAAACCTCTAGCAGGGGGGTCGCAGCACCGCGGGAACCTCGCTAGCAGGGGGTCGCAGCCCTGCAAACTGGCACCTCTTGACGAGAGCATGAGAACGCTGCGCTCGCGGTGGCCAGCGTTCGACCAGCGTGAACGCTCGCATCTTTCGGGGTGTGCGCTTGTCGATCGCGAGGTCTACTCTTCCTTCCTCTCTCCCCCTCTTCCTTTCTCCCTCCTTTCCGCGTCGTCTCGCGCCGCGGGGCGGCGTCGCTTTCGGCGCCCCCGCTCCCGCCCAGGGCAGCTGAGCCCCGCGGGCCCCAGTTGTTGAACTCATTGCGTTTGCGTTGTTCCCGTTCATCGGCCCGTGCTCGTGGCAAATGTCATTTCCTTCGAAATGCGCCCTTCGGGTCGAATGGGAAGTGTTCCGCCTTCCCGCAGGTGCGCGTCGACATGTTCCTTGTCTCATGCGTCATCGCAATATTGCCATCTGTCTCGGTCGTTGTCGTGAGGTGCGCATCCTGTTCTTCTCCCGCGTAAGTTGGCCCCCTTCTCGCAGGCGTTCATCGCGGCGCTTCTCTACGACCGCGTTCCTATGATTGCTCTCTCTGTGACGTTGTTTTTTTCTTTCGCCCCTGCCAGGTCCTGTCGGCGCTCCGCCTTTGGGCGCCTTCTGGGCAATTGAGATTTCTGGGCGCCTGTCGTCGAGCCCCCATCCTCTGCTTGACTCCGCCGCGCGCGTCTGCGCGTCGCAAGGGGGGCGCGCGTGCGATGGCGCGGGCCTGGCCGTTGGCAGCGCTTGCGTAGCTCTACCTCTCGCCTCGTTGCGCGCTGCCCTTGAGGCGCGCGCGCGTCTCTGGGGGGCGCCCCGATTCACAGCGCGGGCGCTGTCCCCCAGTGGGTCGGCATATGGCTCGCTGTCGCGATCGCCCTTCTCTCAGACGCAGCCGCCCGCGCCGCGCATTTTAGTTGGGCGAGCGATTGAATGCGATGGCAGCGCCGCTCGATGCGTCGACGCTTCGCGCATCCCCGCCAGACCACGCAGAAACGACGCGCGGGCGAGTTCCCGCGAACGGGGAAGCGCAGGAGCAACCGGTCGAACAAAGAGGGGGGCAGGTGTCGAACCGAAGGTCGGGATCAGCCTGGCCATGCCCAGCGTGTCATCGCGGATTTGCCGTTGTGTGGGCATCATGGCAGTTAATCTGGGCCACGCGTCTGCCCTCTTTGATAAATGTCAAAGGAACTTGGGGCTCTCCTGGGAATTTGTCAAACCTTCGTAGGGCAATTTCGGAGGGCGCCGCGCAGCGCGGGGACGAGCTCTCTTCAGCCGATTTTGCTGCGCTCTTGGGGCGCTCTTGGGCGGTTCTAGGGCCGGTGCTGAGCTCGCCTGGGTCTGCCCGGGGCTCGTCTTGGTCGAGCGTGGAGCATCTGGAGGCATCAGTAGTCCATCAGACGCGGAAATGCGAGAAGGGTCACATGACTGAGCCACTTACTCGGTCTGGCCCTTCGGGAGTGATACCTGGGGATCCGAGGCCACTTGAACGGTCTCTGGATCGTCTTGGGGCCTCCTGGGGGCCAGTTGGAGTTCATGCCGAGCCAGCTTAGACCATTTTGCGTACCCATCTTGGCCACCAAACTTCGTAAGGATGCCCCGATATGCCAACATCGATGAAAAATTGTTGGTGCGTCAGTGGTCTGGGTTTTCAGGGCTCCCTTTTGGGCGCTTTTGGGGCACCCACTCTTGGGTTCCCATGGGGCCGCCTTGGGTCCTCAATGAGTCCCTGTTGCGGCGATGTTGGGGCCATCGTCAGGCTTCCGACGCCACTCGGGAGCACAACGGCGAGAAACCAAACATCCTGCAGACGCCTTCAGCTAGTGAATGATGTTGGCCTCTCGGGGGTCTCGCGTAGAACTGATGTGCCCACTTGGAGCCGTCTTGTGGCGGTTTTGAAATTTCTGGGGAACATGTTGGAGGCCATTCTTGGAGCCATCTTGAACCCTCCGACGCGTCACGAACCCTTGGTCCCACGGGAGGGAGTAGGGGGATGGATAAATCTCCAACATGAACGCCACATGCTGTTTTGCTCACCCACCTGCCTTCCCTTCACAAAAGCAATACCAGAGACTCGGCACAGCAGAGGTCGCCATCGGATGGACAACCACTTGGAAACCAAAACAGACGACAGGGGCGCGACGTTCGAGGGGTGCGCCGCGCGCAAGGTGCGCCACGCGCAACAGGTGCGCAAGGTGCCCGGGGTGCCCATGCGAGCCTAATGCGCCATGTGCGCCAAGTGTAGTGTGTAGCTTGGGCTGTCCGCTCACATCCGTACTTCGCCGCCACGTGCATGCCGCATTGCTCTCGTGCAGGGGCGATATGGGGTTGGTTTCGTTGATCCTGGTTGGTGGCTGGTTAAGTGGGGGGGGGCTTTCCCGAGGAAGGAGCACTGATAAGCCCGTCCACGAAGGGAAAGAAGGGGTTGGAGGAACAAACGGTCCAAACCTCCTACGCCCAGAGAGCTTTCGAGTATAGCCGAAGTTTCCCGTCTTCTTCTTGACCTCGAAATTTCCGGTCACGCAGCAGGCGCATCCGTCCCATATCGATTTGTAGGGCAGCAGCTTGCACCTTCCGCGGACATAGGGCAGTCTGCGAGTAGAGCTTTTCAGAAAAGGGAATTCAGCCCTGATCGGGGCCGCGATCGATTCTAGGTTGAATGATCGACGCGGTTTTCAAAAACTTTTGCGCGCGCCGACGCCGCACGAGCCGACCGTCGGACCGAGGTGTAGAATCGAGGTCGGTTCGGGGAAGGTGCCCTCATGTTCTTCGTGTCTGTTGGATGCTCTTGTGCATCCTGGGGAGGGTACCCTTGGATGTTTTGTGTGCTTTGGCCGACGGTGGGTCGAATGTTCTTGAGGGATGTTCTTCTGGCCTAGGTCCGACTACCGTAGGGCAGCCTGCGGGTAGCGCATTTCAGAGAGAGGTTGCAAGGAAGCTGTGCGCCCGGAGTGTGCGTGGGCCTTCGCGCAAAGCGGCGCAGTTGGGCCCATTCTCTCCTATGACTTGGCACAGCTCGGACGTGTGCATTTTTTCATATTTTTTCTCGGCGAGGACCATCGAGGAGCGTCTTTGATCCTCTAGCGAAAAAGTACACGCACGAGGCCGAAGAGTGCGCGGGGAATGAACGTCCGAGCGATGGCGAGATGGCGGGGGCACGGTTCAGCGAAGCTTTTGGAACACGGGCGTTTTCTCTCAATGCAGCACATGAGTCTACGAATTGCTATCGACGGCGTCAAGTAAATCAGCCGGTCCTCCATCAGTGTTGGCCATGGTCCGTCCACGCTGCTGGACGACATGCCAGGTGCCAGGCCAGTGAGCAAACAGCTCGATAGGTATTGGGTTCCGCGCGCGCACAAGCCGAGCCAGCCCTCCTCCTCCTCCGCCTCCTCCTCCTCCTCTTCGGTAGGCTCTGACCCGTTTCTATCCGTCGGGGGTCCCCAGGGTCTGTGGGCGTATGCTTGGCCTCTTCGCGGCGCCTCCAGCTCGAGCGCCGGTCGGAGAGTGGACTCGCTCTGCTGCGGTTCGGATGCGATGCGCTCCTGCTCGGTCGGCCGGGGTCTGCGAGCGGTCCCCGGGGCCCCTCCCGAGCACGGTCCTGACCAGCTCCCCTCGGGGGCGTCCACGAGGGGGGGTGCGGACCAGGTGTGCGTGTGTGCATGTGTGTGCGTGTGTGTGTGTGTGGTGTGTGTGTGTGTGTGCGTGTGTGTGTGTGTGTGTGTGTGTGTGTGTGTGTGTTTGTGTGCGTCCGTGTGTGTGAGTGTGTGTGTGTGTGCGTGCGTGCGTGCGTGCGTGCGTGCGTGCGTGCGCGTGCACGTGTGCGTGTGCGTGTGCGTGTGCGTGTGCGTGTGTGTTTGTGTGGATATCATGGTTGGTTTCAGGATATCTCCCCACATCTCGTGGCTCCCTCTTCTCACTTCAACACGTCCACTCGGGCCAAGAGATGCAAACTTCATCCTGGACGCCCCTCTCTTGGACGCCACTGGTCTGCGAGTCGCATCCAGCCCCGTGGACGAGGGCATCCACGGCGTCCGGCAGGAAGCACCAAAGTGAGGCGCAGGGACGAGCCACGGGCCGATCGACGACTTGGGGCCCGACTCTTTCCGAGCGCGCGCCAGGTTCGTCGCGCACCTGACGGTGAGACTGTGGCCCACCTATCAGTCACGCTTCGCGGCCCGGCGTGCTGCTCTCGAAGCCCGTCAGCAATTCGTAGGGAGTCTTGAAGGAGGAGGAACCAGAGGAAGAAGGGAATGGGATGATGATGATTCGTCGTCGTCGTCGTCGGAGGAGGAGGAGGAGGAGGAGGAGGAGGAGGAGGAGCACTAGGTGGACACGCGGAGGAGCGGGAGAGCGACAAGGAGGGTGCCGACGACGACGACGGACGAGCCAAAAGGTCCACGATCTGTTCTCGTGGTTGCTCCCGCGCTGCGGGCAGACAGGGCCTCCCAGGTGCCGAGCGGGGGCGCCAGAATCGTCGCGTCTCGCGCGTCGCGGCCCAGACCACCAGAGCTGTTCTCCTCCTTGTGGGGCGAGGCTTAAGTCGGGCGTGTCCCTCTGTAGGAGGAATGTTCAAAAGTAGTAAAAAAAATAGTCTGGGGATTTTTTGGTTTGTTAAAAAAGAGTATAGTTAACTATTGCTGAATATTTGTTTACTCTTTCTTTGTTTTTCGTAGCGGGACATACCCGACCGAAGTCGAGGCGAGAGCGCGGGGGCGCGAAGAGACAAGCGCCGCACGCCGCCTGGGCGCGAGGCGCGACGCGGGGTGACCAGGCTGAGCCTCGGGAGAGGCCGAGGCCAGGCGGACTACCGCATGGGCATGCTCCTGCTGCTGCTCTTCTACATCTTCGACACCATCGGGGTCCAGGCGAGAGCGCTCGCCTCGAGACTCTCTCCGCCCGCCCGCCCGACATGGCGCGCCGACGGGGTGTGCGGCGCCGCAGTGGAGGCGCTCGTCTGGAGACCCCCAGGCGATGCCCAGTGGTGCGAAGTGCAGTCGGACGGAACGATCGGGGCCGCGATCGATTCAAGGTTGAACGATCGACTCGCCGACGCCGCACGAGCCGACCGTCGGACCGAGGTGTAAGATCGAGGTCGATTCGGGGAGGGTGCCCTCATGTTCTTCGTGTCTGTTGGATGTTCGGGAGGGTACCCTTGGATGTTCTGTGCGTTTTGGCCGACGGTGGGTCTCATGTGCTGGAGGGATGCTCTTCTGGCCCAGGTCCGACTCCAGTCTGGGGCACCATCCCTCATGGCCTCATCACTCCTCCGCGTCCTCCTCCTCTCCGTCGTGGTTCTCAATCTTGCTCAAGCAAGTTCTATCCAACGTCGTTGGCTTCCGAAGACGTGCCGAGGCCGCGAGCACGGCCGTGAGCACGGCCGCGAGCGACCGGGCGGCCGTGGCGAAGGGCGGCACGCAGCTCGTCGAGGAGGATGGGGAGCCCGCCGCGGCGTCGCTGCTCGCGAAGAGCTCGGCTCAGACGGCCGTAGGACCGCGGACCAGGACCTCGTGGCGCGGATGGAGCAGTCCGTGCCCAGGTATACAGCAGAGCAGCCTCGTGGTGCCCAGCGTGAGGCATCCATCGGCGGTTCTGGGGCAGCTTCAGTTAGGGGAACGAAGAATGGCATAAACATAAAAACTCGGAGGTCCGCGCGGATCTCTCGTATCCGCGCTGGGCCACCCTGGCGGCGCCTCCGGCGCCGCCCCTGGCGCGCTCCGCGCGCCAGGGAGGGGGTCCAGCGCCAATCCGAGAAATCCGCGTGAACCTCCGAGTTTTGATGTTTATGTCAGTCTTCGTTCCCCTATCAGTGGGCAGGTCTTCCGTCCGATCATCCGCTGATTGTTGCACGAAGTCCGACAAGGAAGAGGCAGGCTCGCCCTGGTCTGTGCTAAAGTCTCGTCATGACCAGCTGGCTCACCGCAATCGGCAGGTCGATCTATCAGGCAGCAGCGTACTCAGTTGGAACAGGCACTTCAATCGTGCGTGGAGTCTCTGAAAGGAAGGAGCCAACTCTGCCATCGGGCCATCACTGCCATTATGGCAGAGTTGGCTCGAGCAGAGGAGGTTGAGCTTCAGAAGCTTCACAGGCGCGCGTGCTCGCACCCTGTATGGGCGAACAGGAAGTCGGCCACCACAGTCCTGGTGGACACGCTCTTTCTGTTTGGGCGGACAGGAAGTCGGCCATCACGGTCCTGCTGGACACGCTCCGTGGGCATCATCCATCATCCTGAGGAGTTTCACCATGGTTGGTCTGCAGAACTGGGTAATATTCAGGACATATCGGGTGATCTGTCGGCAGCTGGCGTTCAGTATCAGATGGAGCAGCAGGCCTTGCATATTTAAGCGGCTCAGGCGGCCGCGAAGTCGGCCAGAGGGCAGACAGCAGGCAGCAGCACAGGCGACCTATACGTTGATTCTCGTGTGGCCGATGAGGTTAGTGATCAGCTTCAGAAGTTGGTTGACTCAGGCTCGGCGGGGCAGTGCCAGCAGCTGTTTGTGCAGCTGTTGGGCTTCATGCGCTCATTGTCCGCCCTAGTTCGGCGTGCGTCGTCACTGCCAACGACGGCGTGGCGATCATGAACTGAGTGCGCTTCACACACAGCACTGGCTTCTTCCGACACCTGTTCCATAACCATGGGCGCCCGTCCGACGGGAAGACTGGATACGGTCCAGGCTCCCAGCCTGGAAGACTCTGCTTGCTCGCGTGAATGTCCACCACGATGACAATGGGTAAGTGCAACCAAACCACCTCGTGGCCATCCCCCACAGTAGATGGACAACACATTCGAACCCTTACACATTCGAGGGAGATTCTAAATCACCCCCGCGCCCCCGACATCAATGTTGATCTATGTTGATCTCAGTAAAGGCGGTGCTTTGGTGTTCGAACATTTCTGTCCATTCACGCCCCCCCGTCGCCACGCCATCAATATTAATTTCGGGGGGTCTGGGGGGCATCTTGGGCCACAGGGTTCGAATATAATGTCCATGTACGGCACGTCCTCGTCCTCGTTCAACGCCCACCCGTGGACCGTTGCTGCGCGCCCCCATGAGAAGAGCTGCTTGCTCGACCGATCCAGGGGTCCCCCAAGGCCACGGGCATGCCCGTCGCCAGTGGCAGCCACCCCTGGCAAACTGGCGCACTCCTTGTCGTGATAGCCCAGCCACCTTACTCTGTCATTGTTTGTCCTAAACGGTGTGCGGCCGCCTCTACCGCCCTCCGTGACACGCTCGATCTCTTCCCGCGACACGCAGCAGCTGCTGTCCTCGCTCATTCGCCCACTGCGCAGCTCTCTGCTTCCCGACGTGGCACCCGATGTCTTGGTTGGCATAAAGTGCGACGGCTTTTACGAACTGTTCCGCCCGAAATCGCGCGTCTTCGAGCCGGTCGCGACGAGCTGTTTTGTCCTCCGCTCATCCATGCACGCCTCGCACTCCCTCTCTCTATTGTGCGCAATCTCCTCGGCGTTCCCCGTACAGCGCACGTCGCCGCATTGCGCTGCACAGTCCACCCACGAGCCCAGTGCGTCCGTCGGCCTGCCGTGCAAGAACTTGCTCGCCCGCGCAGTCCATGCCCCACGGCGACACTCGTCTTGCACTCCAAGGAACCAGTCGTCCTGATCCTCCACGCGCTTGCAATCCGTCAACTCCGTCATCCCTTGCGCTGCCCTTTCTCTTCCCGCCCCCGAGAAAATGCGCTACCCGTGATCCTCCGCAGCCGCCTGCACGTATTTACCTTGCTTTCTGCAGGTATGCGATGGGCAGCGCGTTGAGTGCTATCGGCGTCACCCCAACATACTTATACTATATGTGCGTGGCCCCCCCAGGGGCGATGCGCGCACCGTGAAATCTTATAGTATATGCGTCGTGGCGGGCGCTTTCTGGCCACACCGCTCGGGAAACGATATACTACAAGATGGGTATACTATATGTTCGGGTCGGACGCGCGCCTCCAAGGAGGACATAGAGTATTAGTATGTCCTTGTGCGTCCCATGCTTTTCTTCACGGGGTTCCAGCTGATTAAGATCTCGGCTGAACAACACGCTCGCGTCCCTGACTGGCCCGTCCACGCCGTCCTCTCCGATCTTCGTCGCGCTCGCACCTGGCATGCGCGACCGCAAGTGTGAATCTCGCTCCGAGACGAAATTCGCGCTGTCCATGCTGGTCTCGTCTATGATCAGCCACTTCCACTGCGACACTTGCTGAGCGGCCTCTTCGTTCTCCGTTTTCTTCTTCGACGCTGCGTCTCCATGAGCCTCGGCGCTCTTCCGTTCGCGCTGTTCACACCCATGCCACATGAAATGTGGATCGCGTCCCCCCTGAGCGCAGACGCGCTCGTGGCCTGCAGGGCTGCCATCGGGAAATCGATGCCGCGCGTCCAGCCCAGTGCTTCGCGTATCTTTACAATAACGAAGCTGTTCCCCGTCCCCGGACCGCCGTGCAGAAACCGCAGTAGCGGCTTCTTCTCGACAGCTGCAGGGCCAGCGCAGTGGTACCCTCTGCACACTCAGGCTAGACCTCGCCGCCCCTGGGAGGCTGCGATCTGCGCAACTGTCTGCACGTGCGTGAGCTCCTGGGAGGGCCAGCGCAGTGGTGTCCTACGCGCACCCAGACTAGACCTCGCCGTCCCTGGGAGGCTGCGATCAGCGCAGCTGTCGCCATTGCCGTAAGCTCCTGGGAGGGCCAGCGCAGTGGTGTCTTACGCACAGCCAGGCTAGACTTCGCCGTCCCTAGGGGATTGCGATCTGCACAACTGTGGCCACTTTCGTGGGCTCCTGGGAGGGCAAGCGCAGTGGTGTCCTACGCACGCCCAGGCTAGACCTTGCCGTCCCTGGTGGGCTGCGATCTGTGCAATTGTCGCCACTTGCAGGAGATCCTGCAGGGGGGAGACCAGCGCGTTGGCACCCTACGCACACTCAGACGAAACCTCGTCGCTGTCGCCAGTTGACCTAGCTTGTGGGAGGGCCAGCGCAGTGGTGTATCACGTTTGGTCTGCATCGCACGAGGTATTTCGTACATCGGGGGTGCGGCGTGTCAGGCGTTCTTCGGCGAAGTGATTGAGGGGACTACGTAATCTGTCCATGTTTTCTTGTGAGAGTTAGGGGGGCAGGGTTCTAGTCGCCATATGTTTAGAACTGTTTGGGTACATCTCTGGGTAATTGTTCTGCGCCAGGATCGCATCGCGCAAGGAAGTCTCAAGCGAAAGGCCCAGGCTGGCCAACGGACATTTTCGGCGGTGTGACATGGGTAATTCATTGATACGGAAGAGGGATGGCACAGGATGGTGGAGATGAGGAGGAATAGGAAGACGGGGAGGGGGAGGGGGAGGGGGAGGGGGAGGGAGGATAGATCACATGTGCGGGTCCACATCGCGGTATTAATTTTCCGCTTCCGTTTCGAACAAAGCGTTGGACAACAATGGAGGAGGAAATGGAGGAGGAGGGGGAGGAGGAGGAGGAGAAGGAGAAGGAGAGGAGGAGGAGGAGGGAGGAGCGGAGGAGGAGGAGGAGGAGGGGAGAGGAGGAGGAGGAGGAGGGAGGAGGGAGAGGAGGAGGAGCAGGAGGAGAGGAGGAGGAGGAGGAGGAGGACGAGGAGGAGGAGGAGGAGGAGGAGGAGAATGAGGAGGAGAATGATGATGATGATGAGGAGGAGGGGAGGAGGAGGAGGAGGAGGAGGAGGAGGGGTGATGCTCAGAACTGGCCTGGGTCCGTCCACTCGCAAGGAGTTCGGACGGAGCGCACGCATCGTTCGATAGGGTCGGCCTTGTCGTGTCGTGCCGCTGCCGCCTTTTCTTTTCGATGGCAGCTACAGCATCACAGGCAGGCGCGCCCAGCTGTTTTTTCTTTCTCACGGTGTGCATGTTGC